ATTTTTCTCAGCTGCACATGGGTCATTTTCTAAAATAGACCACATACTGGTCCATAGGTCATGCTTAAGTATATGCAAGAAAACAGAAATTATCCCACGCATAGTATCTGAATACAGCACAATGAAACTGGAAACAAACCACAAAAACAACCAGAAAAACCCCATAAATACATGGAAATGACTGTAAAACAGTAAATACTTAGTTCATTTTTATTGTTTAAAGAGAATAAATGTAGTAAAAAACTTTAGAAGTAATGCAGAGTTTCACTAAACAAAACTATATGAATTCAACAGTGGTTGCTGTCTTGCACAATGTTGGCTTCAAATTAATAATTTATATTACCAGGTATAAGTATGCAAAATTGATTAAATAAAGTTATCAAAAATTGCAAAGAAGAAAAAATAACTAGCATTATCTGGTCCTTTCAATAGACCAGCAGAAATCAGCAGTACAATTACCCAAGCTATTCTGTATATATATACATAAGTATAACTTTTTTCCTTTTTTTTCTTTTGTCCTATTCCTCATTCCAGTTGTTCCTTCTCTTTGAACAGATTCTTTCCCTTTTACAGTATCTGTTGTACCTTTCAGATTTTATTTACTCTTTCAGGTTTTTGCTCATGTGAGTCTGATTTATTTTACTTACAAGTATGATCCCTCGCATCCATTTACCTATAAAAGCCTTGAGTTTATCTTCCCTAGAGCTGAGGAATACTCTATTGTATAAAACTACCACATCTTTTTTTTTAATCCATTCCTTGGCTGATATGCATGTGGGGTGTTTCTAAGGTTTATCTATGACAAATTGTGTGGCTATAACTATGAATACACACATATCATTGTGCTATGATGTTTTCAGTTCTTCTGATAAAATACTCAGGAGGGAAATAGCTGAATTGAATGCGGCCCCTACTACTAGAATATGTAGCGTCCTACTTTGTCTAAACACACAGAATATATAAGCCTGAATGCACTCCTACGTAAATTATAGACTTCTGGTGACTGACACTCCAGGTTAGGGTCATCAGCTGGAGCACAGTCGTCTCTGGGGCCCAGTGTGGAGCAGAGCAAGCTGAGCACGTGGGTGGCGAGGGCTATCAGCAAGAGCACTGTGACAGTGAGTCCACTTTGCTGCAGACCTCAAATTTCTCTTATCAAAAAAGCCTACTGTTTTTTAAACTAAAAGAGTCACAGAGTATATATTTGTCTTCGGACACCAAAAAAAGCAGCAGGGAGGTAGATGAAAACTAATACTATGGTGTTCTAAGGCTTGAATGAAGTATATCAAGGAGAAGCAAACAGTGGAATCAAATACACTGATAGGTAGGGCTATACATTAGCTGATAATCAGTGGAATTTTCGCTGATAAAAATTCCTTTTTTTTTTTTTTGTATAGTGGGGGCTTGATGGAATTTAAGAAGAAGGAAAAGAAAAGAGAGAAAGTTACTCTTTAAAGGAGCTTTGTTGATAAAGGGGGGAGAGAAATGGGGAATTTCTGCAGGGTTATATAACACTAGCAGGCTTTATTAAAAGCAGGTGGGGCACTATAGTATTTATGTAGGAATGCTAAGATATTTATTTTAGACAGAAGAGAACTGCTGAGACAATATTCATGAACAGTTTAAGGTATAAGACACATAATTCACACACATGGAAGACAGCAGTAGACAGGGATGGAGTCAGCCCATCATGACAGGGCAAAGATGAAGTGCACAGGTATAAATGTGGGTAGGTGGGACTATAGAGTGGTGAAAACACGTGAGCATATTCTCATTGTTTGCATTTTCACAATAAAATAAGAAGCAACCTCATCAGTGTGTGGCTGGTGAAAGATACTTTAGAAAGTGTGTTTTTGGTAAACCTAAAAGACCAAGGAAATATAGGAAATGTTGGAAACTGTATAGACCCAGGGTCATTTGATATTGGGGGTTATAAATTTTAAATGAGCGTGATTGCAATGAATCACTCTGGAGTTGAGGTTAAATTAATATAAAAGTTGAGTTTTGAGGTGAATCAAGTGTTATGAAATGAAAAGGCGAGCTCAGTGGATTTTTGACCCATTGAGAGGAAACACAAAGCTTAGCTGCATGGATAGGAAGCTGGTTCCAGTGCATTAATGCCTGAAATCAAGCTTAGGGATGGAAAGTGATTATTAATAATGGAGTGCAGGCATGAGATGAAGTGTGGGCTGAGAAGGCTAAAGTAGGGCTGAAGACGCACTGGCTGGAGGCCAGGAGATCTAGAAAGTGAGAGGAGGTTGGCGGGATGGTGTGGATGGATAAGGGCATTGTAGAGAGCTACTCTACAATCACACTAAAAGAGGTGACCATGATTCAGGAGCTAAAATCCTAAAATTTATTGGGAAGTTCTGTGGGTGGTTGTGCCAGAGAGGGGTAGTTAAGGTTAAC